CTGGTATTAAAATGAAATGAACAGGAGCCCTTGCTTTGTTAAATGGGATCCTCTAATCTGGCTTTTACAAAATCAACATTCATTGGATTTTTTGAAATAGGTATAAGTTTGTATTTTAAATATGGAAATTACTCATATATACTACATGTGTACTTCATAGAAAATGTATCATAAGTAATATTCTGTTTTGAAATATGGTAATTTCAATGTAGTTTAAGTCAAATTATATAGTATTTTCAAAGTTCAAGTTTATCCTATTTCTTCTCTTACTCAGTTGAAAAATACATTCTGTGCAGTTTACAGATGTGTTTTAAAATGCTATTGTTTAGCTTAGTTATTGCCAATTACAAATTAAATGCTGTAGGTAGCAGGTATTTAACCAGTGAAACAGCTCCCTTACCCTCCACCACACAGATGGGTTGGATGTGTGATAGTCCAGAATGCAAAGAGGAGCCAGACTTGCTTCTGAGACGTCTGTTATGTCCGTGGCAACATAAACCAGCACGCGGGTCTGAGCTAAGTTCCTTGGCGGCGCGTGGCTCTCACATTTCTTGAAATGTACAGGTCCTAACTATTTTGGAATTTCTGTTTAACTTTATATTTGGGACAGATGAAAGGAATTGAGAAACAGTCTGTTTCTTTCTCATCGAACACAATAATCTGGATTTTAAAATTCTGTTGTTACCTCCTTTGTTACCAGGAAATATAATCCTAAATATTTTATGGAGGAAAATAACTAGACTATTATATCTTTGTTCTTATAGTGAATTTATTTCTAGATGTCACTATAAGAGAGAATCCCAATAGATGATATAAGCAAATTACTAGTGCAATATTATTTGTTGACTAAAGTCCTCTGACAAGAATATGCTTTTCAGGCACTTCGTGCTCTCTTAATAGGAAGATGTCTCCAATTTATCCATGATTATAACATTGAGAGCACATATAGAGATTCCTTGAGGTAATCCTATGTCCATGATTCTTTCTAGATATATGTTTTTTCTTCTGTTTCTTGGTTCAGTTATGAACTATCTTCTAACTTTATAAAAATAGTCCTGGCATTTTAAGTCCTCACAAACCACTTCATTATCAGAGAGGAGACCAGCAGTGACAGAATGCTATTTTGTTAGGAAGCCCTGGTGATTCCTACTTGCCTCTCAGTGAGCCAGACTTCCCTGGAGAGTTCTCCGTTCCACTTCCCTGAGCACTTGGACTGATAGCACAGGTAGAAGTCTGCGGCCCTAGAGAGAACTGCGGGTCTGCTCCTTTCCTGATAGGATCTGGAAGGGTTCACTTTCCAAGACCCTGGCAGTGACGGGAGTGTTTACATTGTTAAGGCTCTGAGCACAGGTAATGGCAGATGAAAACATGACCAGAGTGACCAACAGAAACAAAAGGTTTATTGATAAGGATCACCTGCTATTCAAGACAGAAGACAAGGAGGCAGTAGATGGGGCTGCAGGGAGGAGGGTTATTGGAGCAAAGAAGGAAAATGGGAAGGTAATGCTAGCCTTAAAAAGACGTGCTTGATGGGAAGGGAAGAATTCCTCAGATCCTTTCTGGTCTCATCGCTGTCATAAATCAGAAATCCAACAAGATGAGTAATAAATACAGCGTTCTTACAGTTCAGAGTGTATTTTGCATTTGGAAAAGTAAAAGGCGATGAGGCTGAGAGTTGTAGTAAAATTACATCGCTTGAATGAAAAAGTCCTCTGTGTTCATATACTGATAACATGTTGTGTTTATGGAGTTAGCTCCTCTAGTTTTGATTGACTATCCAGCATTCTCTTTGGTTTTCTGCAAAATCTGGCTTTTCGTTTTTGTTATCCTTGAAGTGGGACATCCATGTTAAGCTAAATTTCCAGCGACAGTATTTGCATGTCTGTGTGCCGTGCTCTTTGTACGCCTGTATCTGTACGGACATCGTGACTCACCCCCTGGCTGGTGGAGGTATGGTGCTCACCTCAGGTTTATTTGTTAACTTTGCCTATAACCTGAGGCGGGGGGAGAGGGAAAATTTACTGACAATTCATTGTGTAAAATCTTAGCCTGCTGAATTTTCAGAGCCTACAAGTTATTTTCAAGATTTCCTAAGCAACATTTTTCAGAGGACACATGTGCCGGTTGCATCTGCTGTTGGTGTTACATCCTGAATGGCTTTTTGGACGTGTACTGTAGTGGGTCACGTCCGTGAACTCCTTTTTTCTGGGTCATTGGCAGTGTTCCTGAATTTAATATAAAACAGCTTTTTTTAATGGTCTCTTATTTAGTCTTTTCAGATACAGACTACTCTATTAATATTTTGCAAGTATTGTAGATCATAAATAATTATTAAACATGTATTTTAGACTGATAAGAAGTTATAACATTAACCATTACAAGATTTGGACAAGAAATTAGTATAAAGAACTGTGGATTTTAGTGTCTAATAAATAATCCAAACTTTCTCTGAAATATTTCAAAGATTTATTTTCACTTTATATGTTCATGTTAATTTCCTGATTTTGAGACTTACCTTGTCACTTGGTAAGACAATGTCCTTGTTCTTAGGAAGTGCATTCTGAAGTGTTTATCGGTTAGGGACATTGTGTCTGTGACTTCAAATGATCCACAAATTATACATACATACAACTAAATAAACATAAACATGAATACAAAAATATATATATATACATGTTTTTATATATAGTGAGAGAGGTAGACACACACACACACTGAGAGAGCCAGAGAATTATAAAGCAAATATAGTAAAATTTTAAAAACAGGAAATCTCTGTGAAGGGCATATTGGAGTTCTTTATCCTTACAGGTTTTCTCTAACACTGAAATTATTTCAAAATAATTAAAGTATATGTTCACATTGACGGTGAAGTAAAAGTTGTTATAATCTTTCTGAAGGATATTTTGATAATATGTATGAAAAGCCTTAAAATGTATATCCTTCTACTAATAATTCTACTTCTAGGAATCTAAATTAAGGAACTAATCATTGACATGTACATTGCTGTACGTGTAAGAGTATTCATCACAGAATTTTATGTATTACAGCAAAGTTGTATTATAGCAAAATCTTCACAATCTCCTAAATATACATCATTAGAAGATTGGCTTTCTAATTAAGATGTGTCTATATGTATACAAGATCGTCTTTAAAACTCACATTGCAGAAGAAAAATTTATTGTTTTGGGACATGTTCACAATATTACAAGTGAAAATTGTATAGTTATAAAGCAATTATAATCATTTTTCCAATTTTTATTGTATTTATTTTTCATTGTAAAATACACATAACATAAAATTTACCATCTTAACTACTTTTAAGCCTTCAGTTCAGTGGTATTAAATATGTAGATAATGTGCAACCATCACCACCATCCATCTCCGTAGTTCTTTTCCTCTTGTGAAACTGAAACTGTATACCCATTAAACATTAACGTCCCCATTCTCCCTCCTCCCAGCCCAGCCAGCAGCCACCATTCTGCTTGTTATCTTTATGGTTTTGACTACTCTAAGTACTTCATATAAGTGGAATCATACAATATTTGTCTTTTTGTGACTGGCTTATTTCACTTCACATAGTGTCCCCAAGATTCATCCATGTTATAGCATATGACAGAATTTCCTTTTTAAGGCTGAATAATATTCCATATGTGTATATAGAACCACATTTTGCTTATCCCTTCGTCTGTCAGTGGACACTTGGGTTTCTTCCATGTTTCAGCTATTGTGGAAAATGCTTCTGTGGATGTGGGTGTATATAATGCCTTTGTGTGAAGCATTTTGCTCATGAACTGGTTTTATTCATTGAAATGATATTGCAAAGGCATTCACTAAAATGTTAGTAGTAATTTTTCTAAGTAGTGAGGTGGTGGAAATTTTTTTTATTTTGTTTTAGTTAGTTGGTGCTTTTCAGGTTTCTTTATGGAACATATAATACTTTTAATTAAAAAAAAAGTTACATTGGGTGGGATAAGGTCCATGCAGTTAAAAGATTTCAGCACAGTTGGAAAACCTCTTGTCCATAGTAACTTTTTACAATAATACCTTTTAAAATTAAATAACAGTAATTACTCTCTCAAGGATATTTGGTGCCCTTAATGAGAATGGTGCTAATTCTATTATTATATAAGTGCACCTAGTTTTAGGTCAGTTTTTTCAAAATATTTTGCAGAGACTACCTGCATGTAATTCACCTGGGATTTTTAAAAAAATAAAATGCTTTGAATAAAAATCTCTGGGGTTAAAGTCAGTAAATATGCATTTGTATAAAGCTCACCAAGTCATTCTTATTTCTATCACGTTTGAGAAATCATGCTGCAAGTAAATCTGATTTGTCAAGACCTGGAGTTAAAACAACATGAATAACATTTAATAATTTGCTCTCTAAAAGGATGACACAGTAATTCTCTGAGTAGACCATACTCATTCTTTTAAACTATGATGCCATTTATGAAAAATTTAGCTGTGTAGTTTTGAAGGGCATCTTTGTTTAAAGTGATGCATATCCATATATTCCATATTTGACAACATTTGAGGAATTCTGTCCCTTTGTATCCATCATAAGATGACTTTGTGTTTTATGTACAATGAATATAGATTCATTTTTATCCAGATTCGTGATATAGAATGCTTCAGAAACCACATGAGAAAAGCCTGTAAACCCATCAGCTGGATCTGAAATAAAGATGAACTGCCTGCTGATGTTTTAGGGGCACTGATCCATTTACATTTGTTCACTTTGAGTATGTGTGTTCTGTGTTATTCCTTCCGGAGAGGAAGAAATGCGTGCTCTTGAAACAAGTGCCTAGTGAACAATGATTGATGCTGGTTGGACTGACTTAATTTTGAGTGTGTATATATATATTTATCAATTAGCAGATTGAAAGCACCTCTCACATCCTGCATATGGAGCTTAGCAAGTACTTTTAGGAAAGAGTTGCTTCCTAATTTTTAAGTGAAAATATTCTCCATATTATGTCTCTCTTTCTTTTTAATTTCAGATTTTGTTGATGGTCCTATACACCACAAGGCCTTACTTATTTCTGTGACCGTCTGTAGTTTGCTCTTGGTCCTTATCATTTTATTCTGTTACTTCAGGTAAGTTTCCAACATGCAGATGTAGGGTTTTGAGTTTATATTATCTTCCTCACCTACTATCCTACCTGTTGATGTTTTCACCACAGCTTTCTTTGACCCAATTAGATCATAGATTTCACTGATAATATCAGTTACTACTGATAAACATTTGTCCCAGTGAAGCTATTAATAGATACCTATCTCATTTCTGCTTCAAACATCAAAACCATCCAGATACATTTCACCCCTGGGGAAATGTGGGTAGTTAGGGAATTCAGGAGCTACTTATTATGAGGTTTTATTCTAAGCAGAGAAATTGAACTTAGAATTGCTTGAGTAATTCCTTATTTCCTGAGCTAACAATTTCCCCTTAGTATTGAAAGATTTTAAAGATAATTTATACATTAATTATTAAAATAAGTTCGGTTACTATATTAAAATATGCAGTTACAAATTATTTTATGTCACCTAAGAACTTATTTTCTAGTTTGTGAAATATCAAGCACCTTTAAATTCACAGCATTTGCCTTTTGTAATACTCATTTATGATACTATTCTGCAAATGAGAGTTGATTGAAATAAATCCATTTCTAATCAGAGACATTATAATTATTGACAAAATTTTTTAAACTTTTAATTTATTCCTTTTATCTATATTATCGCTTTATACTACCTTAGATGAGAGAGTTAGCTGTAATGTCTTTTGTAAACCAAAAATTTGCATCTTTATTTAATTAGGGACCTTAAAGGGAAAGATCTTAGGGAATGAGTACTGGAGCTATAAAGAAACATTAAGGGAATGTAACCTCCTTGGAAATAGGCAATTGAAAGGAAGAGAGAAGAAAAATTATACATGATTGAGACTGAGTAAAATCAGGTAATTTATTTTAAAAAATAGGTTAGCAAAATAATTGTGATTTATATTTTGGAAATCATAACTAAGGGTAATAAATACTGAGCATTTAATCTTGTATCATATTTATGTGCTAAAATAAAACCTACTGTGATGACTCTTTTTTTTCTCTAGTGTTTGCCCCATCATTGCAGTCTAGTGTCTAAGACTATCTTCCTTTATGCATCTTTAGGTATAAAAGACAAGAAACCAGACCTCGGTACAGCATTGGGTTAGAACAGGACGAAACATACATTCCTCCCGGAGAATCCCTGAGAGACTTAATTGAGCAGTCCCAGAGCTCGGGAAGCGGATCAGGCCTCCCTCTGCTGGTATGAGAAGAGCACATCTTGAAAGTGAAGGAAATGTCTTCTAGGAGGAAATGTCAGTAATGACAGGATTTCATTTTACTGAAGCAGATAGGACAGTGGACAAAGAGAAAGCTCTGTGCAGTCAGTTAGACATCAGATCTCAGATGAGGACTTCCTGATAACATTTTGACATGTTGGGGGTAAGGTGATTGTTTTTTAATGTCAGTATATGGTTACAATCCAGCCCCTCAGACGTTCTGGTAAAGAGCAGATTAGCAAACATTCAGCGTGGGGCCATCTTCCCTCTGCTTTCAGTAAGGATAGCATTACTGCAGTTTGGCCTAGCTTTTGAAGGCGAAGTATTACAACCAACTGGGACCTGAGTCCTCCCACAAGGGAAGAAGGCTGCATTTCAGCTGGAGGGTTTATGTTTCCCAGTGAAGTCTTGGCTTTTCCATTCAGGAGAGGTTTAATATTTTGGTGGTCAACACTGCCAACCTTGGAGAAAATATATACCGAATCCAAGGCACTTGCTTTAATGAGGAAAACATTTGGTCCCTTTATGGACCATGCAAAAAGATTGTTGGGACTCAGGATGGAAATAACAATTTTAATGAGAAATAGTTTCCTTAATAAACTCTTAAGATGGATTTTCCTAATCTTTATTGTCTGGTTCTGACTGAACGTCTTGTTTACTTGATTCCTTTGGTGACTTTTTATTTAGTACTAAAAGTAACATTTTTAAAAATCTCGAGCCAGGAATTTCTTTTATAAATCTTTTTTTATTGATATACAAAAAAGCTGTGTATATTTAATGTATACAACTTGAAGAGTTTGGAGGTGAGTATACATCCATGAAACTGTCACCACAATCTAGGCCGTAAACATATCCATCACCTCCAAAAGTTTCCTCCTGCCGTCTTTATTTGCTGCTTATTATTATTATTATTTTATGATAAGAACACAACATAAAATCTGCTCTCTTAGCACATTCTTAAGACTACAATACACCGTAGTTAACTGTAGGCACCGTGCTGTGCAGTAGAGCTCTAGGACTTGTTCATCCCGCATAACTGAAACTCGGCGTGCTTTGACTAACGTCTTCCCTGGAGTTAATAGACCAGACACAAAAGCTCTTATGAGGGGGTCATTATGACCAAGCTGATGCCACTTAGGATGTAAATTCCTTTAAGGTAAAAGTTTGTATTATCAAATTGCTTGACTTTTATTTTTAGAATTTAATTAATATATACAAATGCATTTCTTTTATTTAAAAATCTGTATTGTTATACTTTTTCTAAAAAGAAAAGTACAAATATCAAAATCCCCTTTGCTATTAATGAATCAGATACTTATGCTCTTGGAATTGAAAACTATTTTTCTTCTAACCCATCTTTCTTATTACTGTGGAGTTATCTCTCTAAAATTCTTGACCTTTCTGTGTTACTTCCCTGGATAGGACATCCTAATGCCCAGCGGTGTCATGGGCCTCCTTTCCTAGCTGGGCGTGTAAGGCACCCCTCTCCTCCCACCTTTCCCCACCTGCTCCTGAGCTCTAGCATCAGCCTCGAGCAATTGTTTCACAGATACAACATGTGTTTTTAAAGTCCATGTCTTTGCAAATGTAATATCTTTCTGGAGAGTTCCTCAGACTTAAGGCTCAAGGCTACCTCCGTTTTATCTCTATGGCAACTTACCCCAGGCTGAGCCGGTCCATTTATCTTCTGTCGTAACATTCTGCTTATATTACCTCTGCAGCAGTTTAAAACAATGCTGGGACTGGCGTTCGTGCAGCTGTGTCTTTAGCTGTGTCCCCTCTGAAGAGGGGAGACCACATTGTGTTCCCTTTGTGTCCTCAGTAGAGGACCTGAGTGATTAAAGGGACTGCTCAACCATGTGTTTTAAAAAGCTTTCAACTCCAACTTTTAATATCTATGAAAATATCATTTTATTTCTATAATCTAGGTACCAAAAAATAGTGTTTGGCTGTTAAGCATACAGTGGTTAAAGCATCCAGATTGCCAGGATTCCAGTCCTGGCCAGACACCAGGCTTTACAACTGTGTCCTCATTTAATGCTCAGGGCAGCCCTGTGAGGCAGCACCAGAAATCCACCCCGTGTCGCACATCGGGACCTGGGCCCAGATGGTCAGCTGCTACAGCGTGGAGAAGCCAGGGGTCAAACCCAGATGCTCTGCCTGTAGGATCTCTGCTCTTAATGTTCGAGAGATGTGAACCAAATGTTGCTTAAATAAAACAAAGAAGAGTATTTGATAGGGGCAGGATGGAAAGGAAGAGCCTATAAAACCTAGTTTAGTGAAGAAAAAGTCTCAGTATTAGAGAAGTTATATTTTCAGGTTGTTGATGTTATAATAAATCTCAAAATACAAGTGTATTTTTAATTTCTGAATATAATTTAGTGAGACTTTTTCTAAGTTATTCCTATTCTTTCGAGCATTGCCAATTTCATCAGTATTTTCATTAAGTTATAAGAAGATATGTTATCATTAGAAAAGAAGCAGATGGAAAACTATTTACATGAGGAAATGTTCCATGGCTTTACAGAAGCAATGCTGTGAATTAAGTATAATATTTCTTTAACAAATGGAGAAAGTCTCCTCTCAGGTCAGTGAGTTAACTCCTTGTGGATTTGGCTCTGAACGCTCAGTGCTCGTGGTGCTTCTGTCCCCTCACGTGGGAATGGACATAGACTGACGGTTTGCTCACAAAGCAGGTTGACTCCTGAAGGGAGTTCCTTATTTCCTTCAGGCTGAGTGGCTTAATTGCATGTCAGCAATGCTTGAATTTTTCAATCTTCTTAGAAAAACTTTTTAAAAAAGACTCTTTTCCCAAAAAGCTTTCAGTCTGATATTAGTGCTGTTAATTGTTCTGGCAATAGCTGGCATTACCTCTTGAATTGATAAAATCAGCCGTCATGCAAAAACAGAACCCATCCTAATTGGTAGACATCTGTGGCAGGCAGAATAATGGCGCCCCAAAATGTCCAGCTCCTAATCCCTAGACTCTGTTATTTTGCATGGCAGAGGGGAATTAAGATCAGTAATCAACTGACCTTGAGATTATTCTGGATTATCTGGGTGGACTCAATGTAATTACATGGTCCGTAAATGTGCAAAAACAAAAAGAAACACTTTGCTTACTTGAGGCAAGGCATATATCTGCAAAAAAGTATGTTCCAGTGTTCTGATCAGATCTTATAAGAGCTCTGTGCTGGGTTCTTTGTGTATATCTCACAAATTATGTAAATAGTCACCACTATTTAGCCCTTTTAGTCATGGAGTTCTTAAAATATTTTACTGTAAGCGCGAATGGGATAAAGAGCATGTATAAAGAGTCATTTAACCGCTATGCCACTTAACTGTCATGTTTTTTTCTCGTTGTCTCTACTACACTCTCTAATTACTCAGAGCTCTCTATAGCTTAGATTTCTCTCCAGCTCTAAGCTATTGTTTTACCTGTCCATTTTACATTTTTTTCAATTGAGACCATGATGGTTTATAACATTGTGTAGTTTCCATTTTACTTTTTCGATTGTGTTAGTTAACTGTTCCACTTCAAAGCATAATTTTCAATAATTCTTGCTACTTGCTTGTTTTTCATTCCATCTTCTACTTCTTTACATGTTTCATGTTGCGTTCCTTAGCATTCCGTATCTGAAAATTCCAGGTATCTGTAATCTGAAGATTTAATATCTATTTGGGTTGTTTCTCTCGACTCTCATTTATAGTGGCTATTTCCTTTTGTTTTAAGGAATTTATACTTTGGGATCTTCTTTTCCTCTCTCCTTTCCTTCTCTTGCTCCATTTTCCTTTTTCCCACCGTCACCGCACATCCTCTCAACCCTGCCTCCCTCCCCTCCTTGGAGATTTCTTTTGGGAGCCCGACAATGCATTACAGTTTTTTATTTCTTATATTTTACCCTTGATCAAGTGGTATGGTGGCAAGAGTTCCTTCAGAGTATCTTGTATCTCATCATCGTGATGGAATGAAGTTTTCTGCAAACGATTTCCTCAGGAGAGGATTTGTGTTTGTGTTTGCTGGGAGCCATGGTGAGCTACCACCCTAGGGCAAATTTAGTATCATTTAGTGGTCCCAGCTTCATGCTGGGGTCCTAGTTTCAGTTTCTCTAATTTTAAAGAGTCGAAGTTTGTATTCTGTATCCCAGTGTTGGTGTTATTCCTTCCCCAGACAGCAACCTGGCTTTTGTATATGCTTAATGCTTATCTTTCCCTGCTCTGGTCTCAACTCTTACCGCCCTCTTTCCCTCCCTTCCTCCCTCCGTCCCTCCCTGCTTGGAGATTTCCTTTATTTCTTTGTGTGCCCAACAATGCAATAGACGTTTGTTTGTTATATTTTATCCAAGTGTATAGTGGCATGAGTCCCTTCAGAGTATCTAGTATGGCACTATAGTGGTGGAAGTGAAAAATATTCTCTTCTGCCACTTACTGTGAATGCTTTCAGGGTTTTTTCTCTATGAAAGTGGTAATAGGTAGAATGAAATATTTAATAATTTGGAAGCAGTGTTTCAAACATTCAGAATCCACAATCCATCTCAAATACATTTCAAAGAGGGCAGCATGAATTAGTAAATACTAATAACTCATCTATATAAAGAAAAACTACTGACTAAATATATTTTACATGCAGTAATTGTTTCCTTTCTGGAAAAAAAAAAAGATTAAACAAATCTGGAGTGCTGTGAGCATACTAACAGAGCGTTTTGGGATTGAACAGGTCCAAAGGACGATAGCGAAGCAGATTCAGATGGTGAAACAGATTGGCAAAGGTCGCTATGGGGAAGTCTGGATGGGAAAGTGGCGTGGCGAAAAGGTAGCTGTGAAAGTGTTCTTCACCACTGAGGAAGCCAGCTGGTTCCGAGAGACAGAAATCTATCAGACGGTGCTGATGAGGCATGAGAACATTTTGGGTGAGTAGAAGTCGGAGAGCAATGTTCAGGGTTTCCTAGCTATCCTCTGTTTTTCTGTTAACCTCTGCGTGTTAACCCATCTGTCTAGACCTGTTATGAAATATAGAGACATTTTCTTCTTGGCACGAGCCCAAGAACGTCATAAGCTTCTAATGGGAGACCTCACAGGAGGAATGACTAAGACTCTTCTACGAAGGAATGGTGGACTAGAAATGGAATACGCTCAAATGTTTTTTTTCTTCTGGGACAGGAAATGTAAATGGAATACCAGAATTTCTTAGGGTTTCTTCGGGATTTGCAGGAGCACGTTTTTGTTTAAATGTTGTGAGAAGTTACAGGAATTTTATCTGCTGGGTTTATTTATATCCAGAATTGATTTCCTTTTTATTTTCTCAAGTTAGAAATGATCTAGCTGGAGCATTCCAGGGGAAAGAGGGTAAGCTAATTGTGGAATGTCCGCCTTGACTCAGGACCCTGTTTTTGTAAACAGTGGCTTATGTGTTACTATAATACCATGAACTATTTACTGTTAACTTAAAATAGTTTAAATATCAACTACTGATTGGAAAAAGATCATGTTTTCAGATACAAACTCTTAATGTTTCTCTACCTGTACTGTTTTGATTGCCTCTGATTGGTATTAGTAACTTAATACTGTCATAGGCGTAATCAGAAAACTGAATGAAATGCTACGCAAAAAAACCCTATGACAAAGAATGATAGTTGAGAATGTGAGTTATTCCTTATAATATTCAGAAAACACTTTGCTCTAAACCTTTCTGTCTTTTTTCCTTTTAGGGTTCATTGCTGCAGATATCAAAGGCACAGGGTCCTGGACCCAGCTGTACCTGATCACAGACTATCACGAAAATGGCTCCCTCTATGATTATCTGAAGTCCACCACACTAGACACTAAGTCCATGCTGAAGTTAGCCTATTCTTCTGTCAGTGGCTTATGTCATTTGCACACTGAAATCTTTAGTACTCAAGGCAAACCAGCAATTGCCCATCGAGATCTGAAAAGTAAGAACATCTTGGTGAAGAAAAATGGAACTTGCTGTATAGCTGACCTGGGCCTGGCTGTTAAATTTATTAGGTTAGTATCATGGTGTACAGTACGCTTTTTATGAATCTTTTCTATCACTTTTTATAGATTATACATTTTGTAGTTCAGAGCTTCTGGGATATTTAGTGGAGGGGGAATTTTATTAGCCTTGACTTTTCTTTGGAGGGAAAAAGAAGAAACATTTTATTTGCAACACAGAGTGTTTGGGTCAGTCCCATTGTTTCTGATGTCATCAGTGAACTGGCTTCCAGACAGTGTTCACATTAAGTTCGCAGCTGTCATGAAGCTATTCAGAAAAGAGGTAGCTAATGTCTGGGATTATGTGATCACAATTCTGTGTGACATTTTTAAGTAGGAGAAGGTTTCAGGAAAGATCTACAGATTATGAAGTGATAAAGACTGTGGTTTTTTTGGCATGATAAAAGATAGATAACTTGCATAGGTGTTCTATGAAAAATTTAGAAACTAATAAGGAAACACAGCCATGATTCAGCACTATCATATTGTCACTTAAGCAGTGACTATGGCACTGGACACATAAACCAGCACGTGTTATGAACGGTGGTCTTCAGCCCCCTGGGGGCTTCTTGGAGTGACACCTACTGGTCATTCTGCCTTTGCAGAATGGGGAGGGGGTGCCTAATGTTAGGGCTCTCTTTTGCTTACCCTCCCTCTAAGCGAGCAGCTGCTTTTAGCTTGCACATGATTTGATTGAAAGAAATGGTTTCTCTGCTTTGAAAACAAAACCAAATGAGTTTGCAAACCACTGGTATAGAGGGGTCATCATATACCTACATTTTTAAAAACTCAATTCAGGCTTGGCCTTATTAAGTTGTTGGGCCCTCTTGTGGATTTTTTCCAGATGACTCTGTAGAATATGGAGAAGGGAACAAAGGAAAAGCCATGTAGATTTAAAAAACTCATGAGAAAGACTAATGGGTTGGTATTTTGACCCAGAAATGAAGACTGAGGTGTCATTTAGTAATAGGCCCCACATATAGGAAGGCCATCAGCATTGAGAGGATGGCAAATTGAGGTCCTCCATCTTTCAAAACAAAGCAGGAGGAGATGATTTGTACTATCAATTTAAGATAGAAATATGAAACTCCTGCCAATAAAGATTGTTAAATCCTCCCTCTCAACTGGATTCTTTTTTCTGATCTACAACCTTTTTCAAATCTCCTCTACCAAAAAAATTCCCACGGTGTTTCTCAAATTACCAGCCTCTGTCCTTTTCTCCCCTTGAATTTCTCCAGAGTTCCAAAGAGTAACTGCTTTCCTGATCCAGTAATTCGTAATATCTTGTAATTTGGCTTCTCCTCCATTCCCTTCTGAAGCTCCTTTCCCAAGGGACCCCCCTGCTCTTTGTCACCAGAAGCCTTTCCTATGGTCGCTCTACTCTCCACAGCGCCCAAGCCCTTCTTCCTTCTGTTATTCCAGGTGCACCTTCTCTCTCTCTCTCTGGGTTCTGCTGTCTACCTCTTAACTGTTTTCTCCCTGCTATATTTCCTGCTCTCTCTGCTTTCCTTCCTGGTTCCCAGTTTGGGTTGATCCATCCTAAAATGTGAGATGCCACATATTTCCTTTGTTCTCTAAGTTTTTGGTTTGCTCAATTGAATGAATGCTGTCTCCATAATATTCCCACTTGAACTGGGCAGTTTTGGGTCCTCTCTACCATTTTTCTAGACTCTGGAGTAGAGCATTTTATAGTTACTTCCTCTTTGTCTTTCCCATTTCCAACTTTTTCTACATGCTGCTGCCAGATGTATTTTGAGGAAGATTGTCCCTGAGCTAACATCTGTGCCAGTCTTCCTCAATTTTGTATGTGGGATGCCACCAGAGCATGGCTGCTACCGAGTGGTGTAGGTCCACGCCCAGGATCTGAACCCGCAGACCCAAGCCACAGAAGCAGAGCACACTGAACTTAACCACTGGGCCGTGGGGCTGGCCCCCAGATGTATTTTCTTGAAGCATAATTTTGGACATCATCATAACTTCATAGTTTCCCACAGCTTTGGGTTAAAATGTAGTTTCTATTCTGAATACTTTATATGTTCTCATACCTCCAAGTGTTTTTAACTTGGTTTTCTCTTTACCTGAATACCCAACATCCCCTCCTCTATTTAGATAACTGCTTCTTATCTTCACAGTATCTTCCTTTGGGACAGCTATTATTATTCCCTCACAAATCTGACTTTAGTCAGTCTTCTTATATCCTCCCCGTGACCCTGTGCATACCATCGTGACATTTCTCATGCTGTTGTGCAGTCATCAGTGACTGCTTATCTGTCATTCCCAAGGGAGGCTAAGCTCCATGAAAGTAGATACCGTGTTTTCTCAAATTTGCATCCCTAGTGCCTTTCCCTGGTGCCCCTTACTTAGGTGTTGCTTCAAAATTTTGTCTAACGGATAAATGAATGATTCTGTGTGGACTACAGGATGAAGACACAAAGCGCCTTTTCTTAGCTCCAGAGATCCTACACCCACAGGATTGAGTCCGCCTTTCTAGTGTTATAGCCCACAGACTCTCCAGCGTGCCTGCTTTCTTCTGTAAGACTGAACTCCGTGGGTTTTCTCCACATGCACTTGTTTGCCCCTGCCTTGCTTTCCATGCACAGTCCCCAGCTTGGAATACACGTGCTTCTCCAGGTACCGCAATCCAATCTCGGAGTTGCCTTTAAGTCACTTTATGCATCCCCCAGCAAGGAATGATGGCATCATCTTCTCTACTCCTCTAGTAATTTCCTGGCTCTTGTCTTCTTGATATTATAATTCTTTTAGTACATGCCTCATCTTTCCTACTAGCCATGGGCATCTTGAGAGCAGCATCCATGCCAAATTATAGGTATTCCAACATTGTTTTCCATCAATAATTGAGAACTCATTTTCTTTATAGAACTTTAAGTAAATAAAGAAAGTGCATATCTATTATATTTCTGAAACTTAGTTCTGATTAATGTAAGGGAATGAATTGAATGACCTCTCAAATTTCATGCAAAGCCTGTTTCTAGGAAGTGGAGGGGAATGCTTTAAAGGATAATTCAGAGGTTGATCTGGCATATAATTGACTAGTTCATCAAGAGAGGGAAGATGTGAGGATGCTGGCTCAGATGTGCTGCTGTAATGGTCGCTGGATGCGCAGACCTCACATGGCTAAGGAGGAGCAGCAGGACCATTTTAGCTTTCAGGGCCTCAGTTTCCTCCTCCATTAAATGAGGTTGCATTTGATAATATCAGAGGTCCTTTTCACGTTTTTATTTTCTATGTGTCAAAAGAACTTTGCTCTTCTCAATTTTTGAGCCTCACTTTTAAACCTTGCTTTATATGCTTCTTTGGTTTCCACTCTTTTCCTAATTTGGGGTGCATGTGTGTGCACACAGCTATTTAGAGCATTTTATTACAAGAGGGGTCAAAGCTAACCCAGTGTTGAGTTCTCAGACTTCATATGTGAACTTCCTGTGAGAACTTAATCTTTACCCTGGTCTCTATATGGTAAGTGTTCTCTCAGGCTTTTAGGTCATTTCTGGGAGGTTCCCAGGGAAGTTGAGAGCCACAGAGAGAGTGGACTGTGCTTTAGAGATTTCCTGCTCATATAAATTTTTTGTCCTGTATTGGTTTCTTCATGCGCTCTCTTGAAAATGATGTAAGGGCTGATGCATTTCCTGCCTGCCAGAGATTTAATCCAGGTGATGCTGTGGCAGACGTTACTATTACCCCAAACCTCCCTTTGGAGGAGAAAACAATGACACGTGAAATCCTGGAAAGGAACTTAGAGGGCTTTTCACTTTTCACTCTGAGGATCAAGCAACCCCTCTGGTACTTAGGTGTCGGAATAATATATTTTCTTAGGGGGAAAATAAATCCTGGCTTAGAGCTTCTCAGGTATTAAATTTTAAATAGGAAACCTACAATGAAGACTGGACTGTCACACACATCTCCCAGTTGATGATCGTCAAATTGTCCAGGTGAGGGGAGACGGAGGGGCCCAGCCAGGAGGGACTGAATTTCCTCGCAGTCTTTCTGTTGTCATTATTTTGAGCACTGCTTCTGGTTTGTATACTGAGTGGTTTTTTTTTTTTTTAGTGATGTGGCTAAATGACTTGCTAAAGTCACAGACCAAGCTAATTAGTGGCAGAGTCAGCACTCCTAGGCGAGGTTTCTGCAGCCATACCTACCTTCTGTTGAAGACTTTTTAGTTCTAAAATTTTGTTTCTAGGAAGCCCTGAGATCCCTCAGGATTTAATCATAGAAGCAGTGAGTCCGTTGGGAAGTGCTGTGGAAAACTCTCCTCCTTGGTTCCCATCTGACTGGGCAGAGTTCACTGCAGCGGGTCGTCCCGTGGCTGCTTACAAGATGCTGCAGGAACACGAAGGGATGTGCGGCGCCCCTTCTTCTGAAGCCTCGTGATGACCTTTGATGCTCCCAGAGGTCGTTTTAGCCTTTCAAAGAGGTGATGCCATATTTTCCAGCATATGTCTTGTCTAGTTAATTTCCAACATCAGTTGTCAGCCACAGACAAACCAATGGGCTCCCTCACGTGTCTTCTGCCCCCCTGCCCTCTTTCACTGTTCTTTAAAGTTCAGTTCTTATTTTTAAAAACTTTTTAGATTATTAAAGGTGTACAGTGTTTGCTTCTCCTCTTTCTCTGTTACCTTTTTATCTCCCTTCTCCCCCTCTCTCCCTTTCCTCTCTGTTTTAGGCATCAGCAACATCCAGCAGAAGACCACCCGCACGTGTGCAAAGCCTCAGTGAGGGAGAGCCACCTTGCTGGCGCTAACAGCTCAGCTCCCAAGCTGGCATCTCAGGGCCCCGTGGGCTCTGCACGTGGCTCTCATGAAACTCCGCCTTCAGTTGATGGTACAGTGGGAATGCACGCTGTGCTGGACCAAGCAGTGGCTTTTTCCTTTACATGACACTCTGGAAAGAATTCCTGCTATGGATTTATAATTAGGAAGCGTAATTAACATGAAAGATATTTAATACAAAACAAGGTTAAGACAGATACTATATTTTTAAAGACCCCATTTATT